AATATTACTGTTTTTTTCTGTATTTTTGATCAAATAAATACAGCCAAAAAAACGATTAAGAATCTTACTGTTCCTAAACTTTTGAACGGCAGTGTAAATATCAGTAACATATTACAATAATGATCACTCATGGTTCATTTATGAATCCAATTTAAACAAAAAAGTGTTACTACTATTACTATTATAACATTATCCAACTATTAGCCAAGTTTGTTCATGAAACCAAATTACTAATGTAAATTAGTAATTACTGGCCACAAACCTCTGAACGATGTTACTGTGCTCACAACACATTTTCTTTTATACAATAAATTTGTAACAACTGTGAAAGCTTGCTAAATTTGAGTAGAGGAAATACACAAATTTTTAGCAAGCATGAATATACACTTCATGGGAAAGAAAACTGTAACAGACAGGCTAGCTTAGAAAATCGCACGGAAATGTACCTCTTCAATCAGGTAACATCTACACCCCATAGAAGGCTGCAAGTCTTTCTTTGAGTGGAAGAGGAAACTGGTCAGAAAAGTGTCTCCAATTCTCGTCTCCAACCTGGTTCTTAAACCCATGCAAGATCTAACAAGGAACACACACTTGAGTATGAAGCATGCATCCATAATCATCTTGAAGGCTTTCCCAACTCAGACTCGCATAAAATATTTTATACAGCGCTCTACCTTGTAGAACATTTCTCGAAGATCATCTTTTGGGTTCATCCAGGATGCTACAGCATCACAGAAAAATATAAAGTCCTACAAAAACGGTAAAGAAAACAAAGAGGGTCGTTTTCAATTGTAGAAGCACTCAGAGAGACATCAGTGAGAATAACATGTCGTACCTGCACCACACCACCAGGGTTGACCGTGATCATGGTGCAGATTCCTCTGAACGCAGAGTCTTTTTCTTCATTGTCTCTTATATTGCGCAGAGAGGTGCACCTAGTGAAGGGAAGAACCAGTTTTCAAATAACAAGCCTGTGCGGTTAGTTTGCATGTGGATAAACACATAATCAACACAATATCATGACTACCACCTCAGAGCACCTTGAGACTAGCAAACGTTTTAAATCACAGAGATTGGTCAATGGAGAAACACAAATTTGTCTCTTTTTTATAAATAAAACATTCTCTTGTTGAAACCGAAAAGTAGTTCAGTTTGTTGTCAGTTTGTCTGACAATCCCATACTAATCGTTTTTTTTT